ACACCCAGCCCATGATCTATTCTTAAAGGTAACTAAGTAGACAGACAAGATCTCAATCAAATATAGTGTTCTGTAGTCTTCTTTATTAACCAATTTTATAACGGTTTCAAGTGAAACATATTTTAAAAGAAAAAGAGAGAGCCAAGTGTGGTGGGCACATGCCTTTAATCCCATCACTAGGCAGGTAGAGGCAGGAGGATCTCTGTGAGTTCAAGGCCAGCCTGGTCTACATAGCGAGCTCCAGGATAGCCAGGACTACATGGAGGGACCCTGTCTCAAAAAAACAAATGGGATTTGGGTAATAAATTTTTTTTTTTTTACTTAAACTAGAAATTTTCATATATTATTTTTTTCAATAATAAAGTCACCAAGAAAGGAAAACTAAGTAACCAAAGTACAATGTAAATGAAAGAAGCTCATGTTTAAATTGGCAATGGTTTGATTTTAGGTTGTCAGTATGAGTCTTCCAAAAAAAAAAAGTAACCAGACACAATGGTACACAATTCTAAAGCTTGAGAGGCTGAGGCAGAAAAGTCATGAATTCCAAGCCAGCCAGGGTCACAGATCAAAACCTATTTAAAAAACCAAAAAGGAAAACTATGTGTGTATATTTTAATATTTTCTACCTTTCTCCATCCTTTTGGGAAAACTTATCTTCTATTTATATAATTTATAAAATATAAATAACATTCTTGTAGCCCACTCAGAATTAAAATACCTCTACATACAAAAATTCCTTTCAAGTGAGGCATCTAAGTGATTTGGACCCTTTGTCTATGGAACAGGAAGGAGTAAGGTCAAGAAACATACAGACAACAACAGACAGACAGGTTTATTAACCTACGCTTAATTTGAAGATATTCACAAACACATTAAAGCAAACATAATAAGATCAAGCTAGCAGTACGTTTTCTGGAGTTACTTTAAAAGTCCATGCTATTTCCAACTCTTGAGAAATAGTTTTAATCTCATTAAATACTATGTCTTAACATTGAATACTTACTCCTTTTTTAGAGATATATTTTTATGCTTGAAATTACAATGGAATACTTTTATTAAATAGCATTTAGTAAATGGACTAAATTAATTGTGAGCCACGATAATAAATAAGTCATTGTCCAGCTGAAGGCCTACATCATATACTATATTTATTTTTGTAGAGTAGGAGGACAAGCACAGACTTGTCTGTGATTTGCTAGCCCAGTAATTCAGAGCTATGAGCAACCAAACGCAAAAGCCAGTTGATAATGTTCACACACCACATTTCTTTTGAATCTCATTTTAACTTTTAATAATTAATGACACCGAATGATGACACAAGAGCAATACAAAACTGACAATCTCTCAGAACACTGCCAGGTGATTTTTTTTTTTTTTTAATGGTGGAAAAAGTATTGCCTAAAAATTACGAAGCAACATATAGAATTGTAGCTATATCTATTAAAATCAGCTTAATTTTTTGAAAAAACAAAACAAAACAAAAACAATACACCCCAAAACATTATTTTTTAGACAATGAGCTAGGCATGGGAGCATATGCCCTTAAATCCAGAACTTAGAAAGCTGGAAGGCAGACAGGACTTCTGAGTTCGAGGCCAGCCAAGGTTACATAGTAGGCCCTCAACTAACAAAAAAAAAAAAAAAAAAAAAAAATCAGTTCTTGTGGTGGAGTTACAAGTCTATGTTAAATACAGTCACTAATGTTTATTATCCACTATGGTTGTTTATCCTTAAGTTTTAAATATAAAGGAATAAGAAATAATTTCTGAAAATAGAATTTCTAAAGTTGGAAATGAAATGCTAGTATGTCAATATAATTATGAAGATACAGAAGAGCATATTTTAATATTAAGGTATGTATCTGCTCATTAATTTTTCAGAGCCAAGTCCAAAAACTGAAGTGACTCCCTCTACTTCAGAAGTTTTTCCATGTGAAAGTCAGCAGTTAAGTTATAAAAGACGTGTAAATATCATGACCAATGAAGGAATTAAATCATGTTACTAAAAATAAATAAAAAGGCATTCCGTGATCATCATTCAAATACTATCATCAGTGTCTATACAACTCACTTTCTATGAAATTATAAAGTAAAATTTCTTCTCTTTATTTTTCTCACAATAAAGCAGCCTTACAAAATCAACCTTTAAAATTTACCTTTCTTAAAAGATTTGAGTCCTGTAACTGGGATGTCCCTCGTTTGAGTGTAAAAGAAACAAAGGTGTTTTCCTTTAATTCAGTGATGATTTCAGGGACCCTAAGTTACATTATCCAGTGATAAACAAAACATCTGGCTTTGTGGAACCTAACACAGTAGGCAGGAAACTAATCATATCTTTATTTAAATTACAGCTTTTAAAACAGGGCAAAGGTATCCACTGAATAAAAGGACTGCTTGGCCTCCCCACCTCCATAAACACACACACACACAAACATTCTCAACACAAACTTATTACACATTCCTGACCTAGTCAAGTTGCCACACAACTATTGTCAAAGCCTTAAAAAAATGCTTTTGAAATAATTGTTTTACATTAAATTTAAAAACGAAAGCAAAACATTCATCTGTCAACTATTATATAGTGTAAAACTAGTAAAGCCTGCACTGACCTACTTCATATTAGCATCAGGACATGGAAGCATGCCAAGAAAATAATGAAAATGAATACATAACAACTCTTAATTTTGTATTTGAAATTGGTTCCTATCTTGAAATGTGCAAATGCTGTACAAACAATGCCAGCTGCTTTAGGATACCTTTGCCTTTAAATTGTAAGTTTTGTTATTTTAGTCATATTCAGTGATGAACCTGCTAGATTCATGCTCAAAAGCCAAGGGTATTTTTTTCTCTAACATCATACTTAATTCTATTTTAAAACTTCTATTAAAAGCAATCTTAGACCAAATTCCAAATATTGCTTTCCATTTTAAAAATAGTGCTATGCTTTAAAAAAAAAAAAGTCAGTTAATAAAGAATCCTACAAACCGAGGCAAGTTCACATTTAAAGACTATTTTGCAATGGTTCTAATAGAAGGTGGACTTTACTGTGTTTTAATATTGTTATTAGTCTTTAAGAGTTCAACTAACGTTGAAATGTTGCAAATTCCCATACAAGAAAATACTGGACTAGGGAAGGGTGTTCCAGGTAGTTTCTTTTTAATAATTACACAAAATAGCAAGATCTTTTACATAAAAAAAAATCCACTTTACCTTGTAAATTACCACGTTAAAATAAAATACTTTATGCTAAAAAAAAAAAAAAAAAAAAAAAAAAGCATTTCCTTTACAGTCAATGCAAAGAACAAATTCCCTAGAAGGGAAATTCAAATTCAGTTCGAGAATAAAGGAGGCAAACCCATCCAGAAACAGCGGCTGGCTAATCCAACTGAATGAAAAAGGCACGTTAGGTTTTGTGCTGCATATTAATGCTGTTACGTACAACGTCTTGTTTGGTCAAAATTCACAATACACTTCTTCCTCCCTCTACGAGTACAAAAGGAGTCAACACATTTTACATTCCAAGTTTCCAATTCATGCCACCATCGTGCAATGACTTAATCTTGACCCATATTTCCCTCCACTGTAGGTGGAAAATGCACAAATAACTTGTTTATCTGCTTGCAACTGAGGAGAGAGAAGCGTGGTGTGTTTGTGTGTGTGTGTGTATGTGTGTCTAAGGAGACCAGGGGTGGGTGCAACCTCCCCCCCTCCAGAGGTGCCACAGCCATGCACCGGGCTCTGGAAACCCACCTCCAAAGGATGCATCTGTCTCCTCCTCGGCCGCCGCCGCCCCCCACCCCCTTTTGCAGCAGAAATGTGCCTAGGCTGTTCCACCCCAGCCATGGTGGATCCTCTTACCAGATGGAGTTCTTGATCTTGTGTTGCAGAGCGCTGGCCTCTGTCCCTGGCAGCCCGGGCACAAGGGCTGGCAGAGCCACCCCGGGGTTGGGGGCGCTGAGGGGAAGCTGCTGATGGGCATCGGGCTGCTGTGGCGGCGGCTGTTGTTGTTCCTCTGCCATCGCTGCTGGAGGGGAGGGAGGGAGGGAAGATGGGGGCGCGGGGAAGGGTGAGGGAAGAGACGCGGAGGGGAGGACGACGAGGGGAGGAGGAGGGGGAGGAGAGGAAGAGGAGGAGGAGGAGGAGGAGGAAGGAAGCTGGATAAGCTAGGCCTATACCCCAGGGCTCGAGTGAGTCGCTCTCGCCGGTCGCCTGAGGGACATCCCCGGGGAGACCGCGCGGCTCCTCACAGCTCCAGTCACGGTTCCTCTCCCGCTTCTCCTCGCGGTCCCGCGCGTCACCGCGGCAGAGGCATGGCGGCGCCCCTCAGCCAGCCCCCCGTCCGCGGCCGGGGCTTGGGGGGCGTCTGAAGAACCAGGTCCGCGGCCGGGCGCCCCCCCTCGGCCCCGAAATCCGACCCCGACGGCGGTGTCGCGGGGGGCCCGCCGCCTCCCCGGCCGCCCTCCCCCGGGGGCCTGGCGCCTCCGAGCTCCCCCGCGCCGCTCGCTCGCTCGCCCGCTCGCCCGCTCGCCCG